AAAGTAATATGCAGATTCAATGTAATCCCTATTAAAATATCAATGGCATTCTTTTCAGAATTAGAATAACTTAATCCTGAAATTTATATGGAATCACAGAAGACCCCAAGTAGACAAAGAATTCTTGAGAAAAAACAAGGTGGGAGCCCTGGCCAGTTTTGCTCAGTGGTTAGAGCATTAGCCTGCAGACTGAAGGGTCATGGGTTCAATTCCCGGTCAGGGGCATGTACCTCAGTTGCAGGTTTGATCCCCGACCCTGGTCCAGATCATGTAGGAGGCAACCAATTGATGTGTCTCTCTCACACCAGTGTTCACCCCCCCCCCACCCCCACTGTCTCTAAACAAATGGAAAAATATCCTTGTAAGGATTAACAAACAAACAAAAAAACCCAAGGTGGGGAATATGCTCCCAGATTTCAAACTCTACTATAAAGCTACAATAATAAAAAGCTATAGTACTGGCATAAAAACAGATATGTAGATCAATGGAATAGAATAGAGAGCCCAGAAATAAACTCTCACTTATATGGTCAAGTAATATATGACAGAAAGCAAGGATATACAAAGGGGGTAAAGACAGTCTCTTCAATAAGCAGTGTTGGCAAAACTGGACAGATACATGCAAAAAAATGAAATTGGACTTTCTTATATCATATACAGAAAAAAATTCAAAATATTTTAAAGACTTGAATGTTAGACCTGAAACCATAAAAATCTTAGAAGAAATCATAGGCTATAAACTCTTTTTTTTTTTTTTTTTTACCATTCTGGAATGTAAAGCTCTTTTTAATTAAAGTATAGCCCAGCCAGTGTGGCTCAGTGGTTGAACATTGACCCATGCACCAAGAGGTCACTGGTTCGATTCCCGGTCAGGGCACCTGCCTAGGTTGTGGGCCTAATCCCCAGTTGGGGGCATGCAGGAGGTGGCCAGGTGATGTTCTCTCTCATTAATGTTTTTATCTCTCTCTCCCTCTTCTCTTTCTAAAAATCAGTAAAGAAAAAAGAAAAAGATTGGAAGATGATTTACTAAAAATAAATAATTAAAGTATAGTTGACATCCAATATTATATTAGTTTTAGGTGTATAATATAGTGAGACTTCACATTTATACACCATACAAAGTGATCACAAAAAGTCCACTATCCATATGTCACCATACAGTTACTGTGATATTATTAATTGTATTTCCTATGCTGTACTTTACATCTGCATGTCTTATTTATGTTATAACTATAAGTTTGTACCTCTTAATCTCCTTAAGCTTTTTGCCCATGCTCCCACCACCCAACCCTCTGGCAACTATCAGTTTTTCTATATATATTTGTTTAGTTTTTTTAGATTCCACACTATTAGTATAAGTGAATGATACGGTATTTGTCTTTCTCTCACTTATTTCACTTAGCATAATACCCTCTAGGTCTATCTGTGTTATCACAAATGGCAAAATCTCATTCTTTTTCATGGCTGAGTAATATTTCAACATGTCTCTCTCTCTCTCTCTCTCTCTCTCTCTCTCTCTCTCTCTCTCTCTCACACACACACACACACACACACACACACTCACATTTCCACTCCTTTATTCATTCATCTATGGATGAACACCCAGGTGGCTTCCATATCTTGGCTATTGTAAATAATGCTGCAGTAAACGTAAGGGTGCATCTATCTTTTTGAATTTGTGTTTCATTTTCTTCAAATAAGCACTCAGGAGTGGAATTGCTGGGTCCTTCTTTGTCTCTTGTCATAGCCTTTGTTTTAGAGTCTCTTTTGTCTGATATACGTATGGCTATTCCAGCTTCTCTATTTGTTTTCCATTTTCATGAAATATCTTTTCCATCCTTTTACTCTCAGTCTGGTGTGTGTGTATTTCAATCTGGAGCCTCATGTAGGCAGCATTTACAGGGGTCTTGTTTTTTTATCAGTTCAGTCACCCTATGTTTTTTTCAATGGAGCATTTAGTCAATTTACATTTAAAGTACTATTGATAGGTATGTACTTATTTCCATTTTAATTGTTTTTATACTAGATTTATAAGTGCTTGGTCTATCTTTACTATTTATTTGCCTTTACTAGTGAGGTTTTTTCTTTCATATATTTTCTTATTTCTCGTTTTGACCTTTTCTTTTCCACTTAAGGAATTTCCTTTAGCCCTGGCTGGTTTTTCTCAGTGGTTAGAGTATCAGCCCACAGACCAGAGAGTCCCGGGTTCGGTTCCTGCTAAGGGCATGTACCTTGGTTTCAGTTTGTCCCTGGCCCCGTTTGGGGTCGTGTGGATGGCAACCACTTGATGTGTCTCTCTCCCATTGATGTTTCTCTCTTTCTTCCTCTCTCTCTCCCTCCCGCTCTGTCTGAAGATAGATGCAAAAATGTCCTCACGTGAGGATAAAAAAAAAGAGAGAGAAAAACAACAAGAATTCTCTTTAGCATTTCTTTTAATGCTGGTTTAGTGGTGATGAACTCCTTTAGATTTTGTGTGTCTGGGAAAATCTTAATCTCTCCTTCAATTCTAAATGATAACCTTGCTAGGTAGAGTATTCTTGGTTGTAGGTTTTCTCCTTTCCTCGTGTTGAATATATAGGACCACTCCCTTCTGGCCTGCAAAGTTTCTGTTGAAAAGTCAGCTAATAGTCTTATGGGCATTTCCTTGTATGTAACTAGTTGTTTTATTTCTCTTGCTGCTTTTAAGATTCTCTCTTTATCATTAACTTTTAACAATTTAATTATAATGTGTTTTGGTGTGGGTCTCTTTGAGTTCATCTTGTTTAGGACTCTGTGCTTCCTGAACTTGGATGTCTGTTTCCTTCACCAGGTTAGGGAAGTTTTCAGCCATATTTCTTCAGTCGGTTTTCCATCCCTTTCTCTCTTCTCCTTCTGGGACCTCTGTTGATTCAAATATTTGTACAATTGATGATGTTCCAAAGGTCCCTTGTGCTATCCTCAGTATTTTTTATTCTTTTTTCTTTTTGATCTTCCAATAGGTTGATTTCTACTCTCTGGTCTTTCTGATTGCTGGTCTACTCTTCGGTGTCATCTGATCTGCTATTGGTTCCCTCTGGTGAAAAAGTGGTCCATCTATAATCTTGGTTTTTCTCTGGGGTCATTGTCTCTTTAATATGTTCCCTCATGAATGAAAAAATAATAATCCAGTTCTATTTTTTAGTATGCCACTTTCCTAGACCACTGGGAGATTGTTTTTTAAAAACTCTTTAGCTACATAACCCTTGTTTGTACTTAAATTCTTTTTTCATCCTCACCCAAGGACATTTTTGCATTTATCTTCAGATAGAGTGGGAGGGAGAGAGGGAAGAAGAGAGAGAGAGAGAAACGTCAATGTGAGAGAGACACATCGACTAGTTGCCACCCACACGACCCCAACTTGGGCCGGGGACAAACTTCAACTGAGGTACGTGCCCTTAGCAGAAACCAAACCCGGGACTCTCTGGTCCGCGGGCTGATGCTCTAACCACTGAGAAAAATCAGCCAGGCTGTGCTTATATTCTTTATGTTGTAATACTTTAATTGTATTTGAAACATGTGAAAGAATTGTACAGTGAACCCCTATGGATCCATCAACAAGCTTCAACAATTATCCCCATTTTGTCAATCTGCTTTCTTCTCCACTCCTCCCTGTACATTTTTGGCAGAGAGGAGTGCTGGAGTATTTTTAAGCATGTCTCAGACTTTATATAATTTTACTGTTAAATACTTTACTTTGTATATTTAACAAAGAAGGCTCTCCCTTTTTGTAAAATATAATAATGCCATTATTACATCCACAAAATTAATAGTAATGCAGGAGTTCCTCAAATTTTTAGTGAATTCACAGTGGAAAGAGTATTGGGATGAAGGCACTCTGATGTGAGTTTACCCCCTTTCCTCCAGAAAAAAATGGTAGAATTCATTGAGGAAGGGTCTTGGGGTTTAAGCTGGCACTTGCTTAACCCTTATATGACTTTCAGAAAGAAAATTTGGGAAAGACCTGTCCAGAACAATGAATATAACCAGCATTTACCAAGTATCTACTGTGTACATCTCCATATGCATCGTCTCCTTCAACTTTTCACACCAAGGTTCTAGGGAGAGCTTCCCAAATAGAACCTCTGATTGATCAACCTTAGAATATCATAACATTACTCTGATTCCATGCTGAATTATTGTAAGGCTATTTGGGTCATGCCTTAATCTAACCAGATATTTACTGTTGTAGAAGTAAATGAGGATATCTCAGGAAGAGAGAACATGAAAATAGTTTCCTCTTCCAAGCCCAGGTTAGGGATTCCACTTAGTCTTTGCTTTCTCTAATCCCCTTTCCTCAAATGGATAGAACACAAATCACAGGGCTAGAGGACATTTGTATATTGTACTTGAAAACCTATAACTTTTTATTCAGCAAGGAACATCTTTAAGTAGCAAAATAAAGAAATGCCTCCTTAAACATGGTTGGCAGTGGGAAGAGGCCCCTTGAAGTAAACCAGGGGGAAGAAAAGGAGTTTAATAAGAGGGAGGCAGAAAGGAATGAAGTAAAAGAGGGAGGGAAACAAAAATCAAAGAACCTTCATAAATCTAGATTGATTTTATAACCCAACTTGAGATGAATTCTGGTAACTTAAGTAGTTTGTGTTTAAAATATCTTTCTGCAAACCCAAAGGAGTCAGCAGACACCTAAATACCTCCCTTGGTAATGAGACCATCCTAGCAGGTTTACTGTGAAGCTACTGAAGCTTAAACTTCAGGGCCCAATCCTTGCACTGATCCCTCCCAAAACCTTGGGAGAAGCTCTAAAAATGTGTTCTGTGCTCATGTGTATAAGCTTCAAACCACCAAAAACCCAGATCCATGCATGCATCTCAGGGATAGAGTTCTCAAGAGAATAATGTGTTCATAACCAAATCTTGATACTTGATAAGTCCTACATTTCCCTAGTAGCAGAGCTTCCCTTCCTTTTAAATCATCTTTGTAATTTGCAAGGATTTAACCTAATCTGTATTTCATTTGTACAGATGAAATTATGCAGCAGGAAATCAGGCCCTTGTTGGCAGTGGATATAATTGAACAACTTCACAGACAATTTGCCATTCTTTCAGGTAAGGGGCTAATTCATTTGCACTTCTAGCTTTAGTTGTGGGTTCTGCTCCGAGGGCCCAGGGTCTTGAATCTTGGTGAACATTATATTTAAGTTTCAGTCATCCCTTAAACCTCACCCAGACTAGAATGAACCGAGGACCATCCAGCTGGAGTAGGGTGGGATTTCATGGATGTCATTCCATTTACTGTTGGGTACAATTTGATGTTTCCCAAGGGAATATGTTTCTTTGAGGTTGTAAAAGAACAGAACTTAAAAGATTTTGAGGAAAAAAAATAAATAACTGCTGATATCATCTGCCACCATGATGTTCTTTTAAGATCCAACCTTAAGAGAGTCTTGGTTTTAAGGGTTCATAACATTGCTTAGGTTGTCTATTCTCTGAGAGATTTGTCTTTTATCCTTAGCTCATAAGGACCTAATTTTAATACACTGTTTTTTATTAAGCATTTGATTGGGAATAGAGAGAGGCTAATATTGATAAAGGCTAGAAATTTTCTGACCCTGGGCACAACCCTAAAAAGTTGTCATTACTAGATTACTATTCTTTCTTATTCACTTAGTGATAGGTGATATGACTTCAATTACTGAAACTGGAGGTACATACCAAACCCTAAATTATAGTTCCACCAAACTTGGAAGTGTGGGATAGTGAGAGTAGATGTCCTTAGCATAAATCACAAAGAAATAAGGTGACAAGTCATTTTCTTGATCTTTTGTAGCTCTTCTGAAAAAAAGCAACAAAGCCATCTTAGTTACATCGTAGAGAATATGTGGTTAGCAGGGATTTTACTCTAGTACAACATGAAATGTAAAAATGTTACATTTCTTTCCTTCTATAAATTATATTTAATCTGCTCTAAATTCCTTATTCTACTGAGTTTAAGGAAAATTTAATCGTCGTTATTTGATACCTCTCCTACCCCAGAGTTGTATTCTTTTACAACCAGAACATCTGGGGAATTCTCTGGTCTTTTCTCCACATTGGTCACTGCTCTCATAGTCACTGAAAACTCCATATGTACAGGGTCCTCATTTTTCTTATTTCTACGTGCATTGCCAGTGCTTAGAACAGAGACCGAAATATAATATATTCAAGTCTTCCTGGTCTGTCCTCTGAGGCCAGGGGACACCCTGCTCTCTGCATCTCCTCTCTGGGCACACAGTCTTAGCCTTGCAGGGAGTGCCCAACCGTCCCCCTGAAGGAGCCATCTCAAAGCTTCCCACAGTGAGCCTAGGACTGTGCAGAACCAAAGGCAGAATAGGAACTGTCTCTGGGTTTCTGGCCGCTGCTGCTGTGGCCCTGCACCAAAGAAGGCCCATGGCCAGTGTGCAAAGGAGTGGAATGGATGATGGGGTGGCGCAGGGTGAATTCCTACAGCTTTACACCAAAACTCTAAAGCCTCAGTATATGAGTACATAATTAATTACACAATGAGTATATAGCGAATATATAATGAGTATATAATTACACGTGGCTCATCTGAGGAAGGAGTTCAGCAAATTTATACATGTAATGATACAAAGTGATCTATTTTGAATATTATTGAGGCATTTCTTTCTGTTTTTTCTTCTTAGAGGCAGAATAGGAGAAACAAAAGCAGTAAGGATTTAGATTCTGCACTGACTAGGTGCATCACCTTGGGCAACTTACGTCTCTAAGTTTCTGTTTCCTCTTCTGAATGATGAATGGAATCATTGAAATGTTGAGGATTAAATGACACAACGTATGAAACATGCTCAGTGTTGCGACTTCCAAATAAATGTTTGACTTTTTTTATGATATAGTTTAATCCCATAAAAATGTTTATTTTAGGGTTATATACAAAAAATAATTTTCACTTTGATGCCATTTTTATAACTAACTGAAGCCATGCTCACAGTAAATGTGGTATATAATGCCATGATTAAGTCAGGAAAAGAGACGATTGTCAATCTTTAATGTGTGGAACATAGAACAGTGAGGACTCACACTGGACCAAGAGGGCACTTTGACTATGGCAAAGACAATCCCTGTGAGCTTCTTTGTCATCTCGTTGCCTCAAGTTTGCCCTTCTTATGAGAGAGAAACATGGATTAGCCGTGGCAGCATTTGTAACACCGCAAGTATGTTAGAACAGCAGCGGCCATGGGGTTCTGAGTCAGCACGTTTTTGGAATTAGCAGGGCTGCTTTCCTCTGTAACCATCCCTCTTTACCTGGCAGAAGCAGCAAATGTCAGCAGTGTGGCCACTGTGGGAGGCTGTGTAGTTGTGGTTATAAAACAGAAATTTCTGTGCTTAGGTCTTTTCCCCATTGCTGTGGCAGCCCAGCTGTGGCCTCCACGCAGCCACAGCAGTTTGCCTTTTGCTGATTTGGGCAAGGAGGATGAGGATGTTCCAGCTGCAGGCTTTGCTACAGATTCACTGAGCTCTGGAAAGAGCCCGAGGTCCCATCAGCCAGGAACGCTGGAAGGACAGGACGGCGCCCTTTCCTCACTGAGGCCCTGTGGCCTGGCCTGCTGTGCTCTGTGGGCATGCTCCTAGGGCTGGTGGGAGAGAGGGGCTCGCTGCATGACGCCTGACCCAGACTGTGGCCAGATGGTTTGAAGCCTCTGGATGGTGAAGCCACCAACAGGAATTGGATGGTGACCAGGGCCAGGGCCTCTCTCTGGTAGCTCTGACCTTGGGAGACAACCTGATGTTCCCAGTGAGTTTGGGATATTTCAAAGTTCAGGGCTTAGCTAGGAAACAAGTGACTATAAGCAGGTTAGTGTGGTGGAAACACTCTAGGCTTTGTGTTCAGACACTCCTGGGTTCATATATTAACACAATGGTGAACATCATGTTTCTCTTCTGTAAAGTAGGTTGTTTTAAGGAAAGAGCCTGGAATGGAATCTGGTTACCAGAGAACTTAGTATATAGGACTTGTTTGTTTGTTTTTTAAACCACATAATGAGAAATCTGAAGGTGGAAATTTCTGGTATTAGACCAGTGACTCAATAACTTTAAGGCTGGCATCATTGTGATTCTCTTGATGTTTCTTCTGTTGTGAAGTCCAAGTGGCTGCTGCAGTTCTGGACGTCAAGTTTGTGTTCATAGCAAGAGGAAGGAAAAGGAGCAATGCTGTCTTCTTCTGTTCTGTGTTTTTTTTTTTTAGCTTAAAACAAATTTTTTTTTTCTTTATTGATTTTTAGAGAGAGAGGAAGGGAGAGGGAGAGAGAGAGATGGAAACATTGATGAGAGTGAACATCGATCGGTGGCCTCCTGCATGCCCCCCACTGGGGATTTGGCCCACAACCTGGGCATGTGCCCTGGCTGGGAATCGAACCAGCGACCTCTTGGTGCATGGGTCAATGTTCAACTGCTGAGCCACACTGGCCAGGCTTCTTCTGTTCTTTTTTGCCAGGAGAGCAAAAACTTCCCAGAAACTCTTTGCCGACTTCTGCCTATGTCTCATTCCAGAACTATGTCATACAGCCATTTCTAGCAGCAAGAGAGTTTGAAAAGGCAAACATTTAGCTTTTTAATCATTTTCGTAGAAGGTGGTCAGTGAAGAAGGGGTTGGGAATAAATTAGCCATTTATCAGTGTCTTCCATAATGAGGAATTTTTAATTATGAGGAATTATCCTTTCTTTTTCTTTATTTGTTTTTTGATCATTGTCTGGGCCTCTCCCCTCCCCCCTGCCATAACATGTTTAATCCTCTTAGAAATAATCAATAATGAAGGTATAAAAATTACTCTCAGACTTGTGGAGTCCCCAGTGTTTCCCCTATACGCACAGGAATGGAGCCCAGGGTTGGTAGAGGTGGTTTCTAAGGGCAAGTGGAACTTCTTACCAAGGAAGTGAGTGAGCAGAGTCAAAACTCATGCCTCAATCAGAGATGGAGCTTGTAATCAGAGATGGCACCTGGGAAATGAGAACCAATGCAAGAAGGGCTAGAGCAGGGCTATTTAATAGAAACAGAATGTGCCCCACATGTACTTTTAAGTTTTATAGTAACTATATTAAAAAAGCAAAAAGGAACACATGAAACTAATTTTAATAATATATTTTAGTTAACCCAATATATCTAAAATATTATTCAACATGTCATCAATATTCAACATTATTAATGAGATACTTTACATTTTTTGTACTAAGTGCTAGAAATCTAGTTTGTATTTTACACTTACAGCACATCTCAGTCCGAACCGGTCACATTTCACATGCTCAACAGCCACATGTGTCTTGTGGCTGTTGTGTTGGGCAGAGATGGTTCTCAATCATGTTGGACTTAATGCCTCCTTTTTATACCAGATGATTTGTATTGCCCCTCACCATCCTGAAATGAAGTTTATAGATACCATAACCTGCAACAAATAGACTTCAAAGTGTATAGTGGCTCAAAAAAAAAACAAAAAAACAAAAACACAATAGAAATTTAGTTCTTACTCTTGGAACAGTCCAGCGTGTATGTTTCTGGTCAGCAGATGACTTTCCTTCATGTGAAGTTTCATGACAGAGGCTCCTTTTACTTTGTAGCTCTTATTACTATTATCCATTTAATGGCCTTCTTATTATCTGCATCCAGACAGCAGACAGGAAAAGTGAGCATTATTGCTTCTTAAAAGCCTCAGCCCAGCAACACCACACACCATGCTCTATTGACTTGAACCTGGCTCAGTTATATGGATGCATCAACAGCAAGGGAAACAGGGAAATGCAGTCCTGTGTCCACAGACAGTGAACCACCACCCTTGTACTTACTCATATACTTTAAAAAATTAAAAAAGGAAATGTAAAGGAGAAGTGCAATGTAAAGAAGAAATAAAAGCATGCATAGTAAAGTAATACATATTTCAATATGTATTTCTAGCTACACTAGAAAAAAAATAACAAAATAGTCAAGGACTTGCCCCTGTAGGTGAGTCATCATGAACATGACAGGTGCAAATGCTGGGGTGTGGTATGGGTGGTCAGACACCCTGAGTGGCCTTACTGTAGAGATTTTCTGAAATAGTAAACAATTGTTGATAAAA